AGGACTGAAATGGAAAAAGATAATTGGATGCTTTAGGAAAGAAAGGCAGCTGTCCACTGACTGTCCTGGGAAGCCAGGTGAACTAAGCTGTTTCCCTCCAAAGCAAAGAACCAGGCGGGCAGGCCTCCCTGGCACATCACTGTTGCACTCCTAAACAAAGTAACCCTGCAGCCACAGAGCTCTCCTGCTAAAAGTTCATTGCCCAAATTGTAAAAAACAGTCTATGATTCATTATGGGTGAGGTTCTGCTGCCCAGACCCTCGCTGGGAGTGTGGCTGTATTCCTCGAAGGGTGCAATGCTGTTCAGCATGGAGGGAGTAGCAGAATCTGGATGCTTGAAGTAGTTAAAATAATTGTACTCTTCTGAAAATCCCCACTAATATTCAGATTATTGAGTTCTTTTTTAATTAATGCTATATATTGAATGGGCACTAATGCAGAAGATTTTGTCTGCAATCTCTGTGTCATTTGATAGCTTTCAGTATTATTGCATTTAAAGACAGTATACATACCATTTCACAGGCCTATTGTCAACCTTTTAAAGGTATTGAAGATGATTATGAAATGAAATCTACCTCTGTGGCTTTTGTGACATTATCTTCTTCAAATGAATTGAATAGCACCTTTGCCTCCCTTCTTTCAGACCTGCTCTATTTCTGTTCTGTGAAACCTCACCATTAGCATTCTGAACATGTTGATTCTCTTATCCATCACTTTCCATTTCAGTTTTCTCAAGGTGAAATCTCCCTGCTAATTCAAAAACCTTTTGGTCTTTGTTATGTATAAATGACTTTGCCCAAATACTAAAAAACCTAAATGGAAGATAAAGTTAAGGCCTAGCCACGTTTTATGACAGAATAGTAAATGCAGGGGGTAAAAGGGGTAAGGAAGGAAGCATAACGGTTTAACTTTTTATTTCTAGGATTTTTTTGAGGGGAAGGGATTGAAGGTTATTTTCCAGAAAGGTATAATGAGTTGAGAACTTTTTCCTTAAATAACTGTTTTCCTGGATCTGGGCAATTTTTCAAAAAAATCATCATGCTTTAAATAACCATGTTTCCAAATGAACATAGCAATGGGGAGAAATATCCTATTCATAACTGGCTTGGAAGGATACCAGGGAATAATTCTTGCAGAGCTAACATTTTTCATATTAATGAAATATGTTTGCTCAGTAAGCCAGACATTTGATTGTGTGTACTACACCAGTATATTAGAATTAGTCTCATGCTTTTCTTCCCGTCTCATTAATTACTTCATGGATTACCTGCTTGATCAGTGAGACAGTAATAATGATGAATGCATCTGTTTATTTGTAGAAGTAGTATCAACTATTTTTTAATTAGGGAGTGGCACTTTTAATTGATGAGTGCCCTCTGTGTTCTATGTGTTTAATAGAACTTTCCTTACTGTTTGTTATTACTAGACATAGAGAAATCTGGACCAGTGCAGAGTTCAAGTCTGTTGGATGTTGATGGCAATTAATCTGGCTGTGAATACAGTGGACTGGACTTTATTTTTAATGTCATTCCATTTGGGCCACCTCAGGAAGGCTATATGTTTAGCTTAGTATGTAAATTTAAACTCCCAATCTGATAGCTGCAGAAATGCAAACCAAAATCACATCTCTGCCTTTAATGACCTCAGTGAGTTTAATATAGTCAGACCTGTATAACCTTGCTTTCCATCAGCAAAAAGTAATCAAATAACCAGTACGAGTGAATTCATTACTGAATCCACAGTATACATGACAGCAAGGCAGAGGTTTCGTGGGTGGCTCTGTTCTTGTACTAGTTACCCAGTTACTAGATGGGAATTTTCTTGCATGAATATATCCATAGGCAATGTTTGTGGAAGGTGGTGATAGCCTTAGATGCAGAGCGGATCTGGGAGGAAGAACCACATGTAAATAAGGAGAACAAATGGAGAGATAAAGGGCATATGGAAGTACTGGGAATGGATTTACTATGTTACCATTATACCAAGTGTTGTCCATTACACTTAAATAGAGTTCCATTTGTATTATCAGCTGAATGGCTGTGATTTAACTAGTTTGGCAGCAGATTCTACCTGTGGGGCCTTTTATAGCCTCTGTTCCGCTCTCTTTTTAAAATTCAGTGTGGGTATAAGGTGCTTTAGTTTATTTTTCTACCTATCAGAAATGCATTCAGAAGTGCAAAAAATTCCCAGTTTCTTGATAATAGAAGCTTTGTGCAGAAATGCTCATCCTTCATGGCATTTTATAAAATGCGTGGAGCAAATGATGTCTGCAAGTGCTCATGGATCTCAAGGACACAAATTCATACACTCTTTGTTTATCAATACATTTTACAATTTAAACATGAGTACTTTATTATTATGACCAAATATACAACTGTAGGTAACTATTAGTTTATTTAGGCCAAAGAAACACATTGAATTAATTTCCTTCACTATTTTTTCATATTAGTGTAGATAGGAACAGTGGCACTTACTGAATAGAATCATTAAAGTTGGAAAAGATCTCTGAGATCATTTAGTCCAACTACTAACCCAGCAGTGCCAAGTCCACCACTAAACCATGTCTCTAAGCACCACATCTACATATTTTTTGAGCACTTTGAGGATGATGATTCTATCACTTCCCTGGGCACACTGTTCCCATGTTTGACCACCCTTTCAGTGAAGAAATTTCTCCCAATATGCAATCTAAACCTCCCTGGCACAACTTGAAGCTGTTTCCTGTTCTGCTGTCAGTTGTTACCTGAAATAAGAGACCAATCCCCACCTCAGTACAACCTCCTTTCATACTCCTTCTATGGAGACCACAGAAGTGGAAACACTAAGAGAGGGAAGTCCTGCACTGGAGCCTTCCTAGGCTGCAAGATAACTTCAGCCAGCATGCTGCCCCCCAAAGCAGTAGTCTGATCTTCCCCTCAGTTTTAGCAGCTTGAGTCAGTCCTGTGGTACTGATACTGGGCCTTCCTTCACATGAGTATTTGTGTGGCTGGGCACATGCTGTTGGAAAATGAGCTGGATGAAAGCTAGCTCAGGAAAAAAAATAGTAAAAGCAGTGAGGTGGGAGAGAGTGGCTGGGACAAATGCAAGGGTTGCTTCAGCCTCCATTTCTGCTCATGTATGTGAGCATCACATGTTTAGAGATGAATGTATGTTTTTTATGGTTATATATTTTTGCTGTGCAATTTAACAAAGTAATACAGTGGTGAAAATTAAGACAATATAATAATATACAGCACTGATTTTCTGTGTGATCTTAAGTCATTTAGGTATGGATCAGCTTCAAACTGGATATTGCTGGAAACCAGCTCTTACACTTGTTTTGTTTTTTTTTCCCCAGAAAAGAAATTTTTACTTCCATTTCTCCTCTCCTGAAGCCCTGATTTTCTGTAAGGCTCCAGATAGGTTTTGTGCAATCTCATAATGTTAGCTCATTTTTACTTTCAAAGTGCTGTAGCCCCACCTGGTATGTTGGGTACAGCTGAGGCTTCAGATTGCCAAATTCCCACTGACAGACTGGGTGACCTACCTTTGCACATAGGTTGCAACAGTCAATAAAAAAGCAATGAGAAAAATACGTGGTAAAGGGCAGTGGGGTCACTGGTTATATATAGGAAGAGTCGCTCCAAAAATAGATTAGCATTTGGAGGTGAATAACCTTGGACTATTTTAGGGCTATTGAAAGAGCTCTCTTTTTTTCTTCTTTTTTTTAATGTCTTGGAGATGGAAGAATATTGTTGAATAAGAAATGTCTGATACCATTTGCTTTCTAGTTGCTAAATGATGAGTACTTGGAATCAATTTAAACGTCATTCAGTGCATATAGTTGCACAGGCCCATTAATTAATTTGTTTTTCCATTGTATAATTTTGTACAATGGTTGTAATATGGCAACAAGACTGGATCTTCAGAGATTCATAATTCTGTAGTAGTTCTGAAAACTAAGTACCCAGTATACAGAACTAGTAATTTGAAAGCTATTTCTTCCTACATGTGTGCAATGAAAAATAGTCTCTGAATAATGAATATCATTCCTGTATTTGATTCATATCTGAGAGTAATTTTGAAACATTTTGATTTATCTTGTCTAAAGTACCTCTTGTATGTTTTCTGACTCCTTCCTGCTTAACATACGCAGTAGGGCATTTTGAAATGAAGGTGAGTGAAACTGATACAACCCATAAAAATAGATGAATGGTATTAAGCCATTTGATTCAGGCATGTAATCATGAGCTGTGGTATTCCTTTAGCCCTCACATCGTTCTTTCATATAAACATGTAACCACGTGGCTGGATTCAGTAAACACTTCCCCACTGCATTTCTTTGACCATAAAGATGGTTGACACAGCATTTGAGCAGATCTGCTTTCCCTGGGCTCTGTACAGCTTCAGGACCCTATTGCAGCTTTTACTTACCATAACCTCTGGACTACTGGAGGGAGATAGTCTTCTCACCTATAGCTGCTGGAAGCTATGGTGCCTCCAGCTGCAGGTGTCTGGGAACCTGCAGATCTCTTCCAGCTCGATCATTCATATTCTTCACTCCCCTTAGCAACTGCTGCAGATGCAGCACTGACAGTACAGCTCTTGAGACAATGTGTGCACTGTCTTATATCTCCAGTTATTCAGGAAAAAAAATTACTAACCCCTTCAAGTAGCCAGATGGAAATTTTGAAACTGTTTATTCCATGCCATAGGACCCATGATGTCATTTAGCTTTCACTGTGCCGAAAACAAAGCCAAGGCTCCTCTACACGTTCCCCTTCTGCTTCATTGTGTTTGAGATGGAAGGGTAATTGTTCTTGGCAAGGGTGACTGGATTACAGCTGCCTTTGACTTCCAGGTTTTTTTAGTGCCATCGTGGTGGCTAAACATGTGCAGAACACTGTGACACAGTGGGGAAAATGGGATTTCATTTCTTTGAAATTAGAAAAAAAAAATGTGAATCTTTCCCTTTGAAGACAATTACCAAAAAATCAAATCAATTCTATTTTATTTTTAAGACTTGGAAGGTTTTGATTCTGTAATACCAATTGCTGAGAAGCTTAATCATCCAACTACAACCAGACCAAAAGCTACTGGCAGGCGACCACCCTCCCAGTCTCTCACATCTGTAAGTCAATTTTCCTTTTCTTTAAAAAATATTTTTTAAAATATTTTTTCTAATTTTTCCTCTCCTCCTCTTTGTGTTTCCTGGTGTTTTTTCTACTTTTACACAGCCATTCCTTCACATGTACAATGAGGCAGAGAGAAGCAGTTCAGGAAAATTAGTGTCAAAAGGCTGCCAGTGTTTTGAATACTGATGTTTAAAACATTCCCTTCCTTCTAAGATCCATATCCCCTTGTTTGGGTGCTGCCAAGTATTCTTTGCCAGCCATGACCGAGCCCAGAAAAATCCTTTATAAAAATCTGTGGAATCAACTCATTTGTCCTAACTATTAAGGATTTTGAAAGTGTTTCTCAAAAGAAGCATTTCCCTTGGGTTCTCTCGGACATTTACCCAATTTTGAGGACAAACAGACCACTCAGTCTTCAACAGCTATACTTGAATTATCGTGTGTTTCTTCTCACTAAGGTCACAATTCTAAATATAAACATGATTTAAATTTCACTCTCTAATATGTATCTTATAAGTTGGTTTTGTAAACTATACTTTGGAAATCACTTCTTAGTTTTTCAATGTCTTTTTCTTTGGAGTTTGGGATTTCTTTGGTTCCATGCTTTTTGCATTCTGGAATATCAGAATGAGAGCAAGTACTGATGGTTACCTGGGTTCATGTTGCTGAAGAAAAACAAAGTGGAGGCAACCAAAAAGTATTATTGTGAAACTGATAGGACACACACAGAAAAAAGAAAGCTTTCAAAATTAACTGTCATCATAAATATAGAAACATAAAGACAGTAAAAAGGTTTTCCTTCCCCTGTCAAATCTATGGGGAAAGGAGCAAGGGATGGAAAGAACCTTCCCTCTTTGCACCTTTGCAAAGAGGCCGTGCACAAGGCAGCCCTGCAGTGCCAGCAGCGTGCAAGGGCAACAGCTGGGTCCTCTCAAGAGCAGTGAGGTGAGACCTGCACTGAGCAAAGCCGGGGCAGAGCTGCCCAGGGGGCAGTGCTGGCATCCTCCCAGTGCTCAGTGTCCCAGCTCTACTCGTGGACAGGAGGGTGCTTTCATCTTATGCTATAATGCAATGCAAACATGTACATTAATGTTGAATTCAACTCTTAAGCATATCTTATTTCTTGAATGCTTCCAAAGCAGTCTAGCCTTGAAAATAAGATGGAAAAAACAGGAAGTAGGGGCCAAAGAGTCCTGGTTTTAAGTATTGTTACTTTGAAAATTATAGCAAAAAAAATTCTTGAACAATGATGATATCTGTGCTTTTTTCTTCTTTTGTGGTGTGTGTTTGTCTACATAGTCATCCCTTTCAAGCCCCGATTTCTTTGACTCACCAAGTCCTGAAGATGAGAAGGAGGAACATGTTTCCATTGCTCACAAAACCCTTGAAGTGTCAAGGAAATCAAGAACTGTTACAATATCACAAGTAAGTTAAATGAAATGCCTCTTCTTCACCTCATCACATGCATCTTCATTTCTTAAAACAGTACTGAAATATTTAAAGTTTTATTCAGCAGTCACCTGGTAACTAGCCCCTTAAAGAAGCTTAAAATTATAAAGGTTACTAAAGATTGTTCTGTGCTTGAAATGCAAGTCTAAAGTGAATTGCATAGTTAAAATGTCTCCAATAACCATACTGTGGAAAAAAAATCCTTCTAGTGTAAATGCATTTCACAGAATCACAGAAGCTAGGGAAATAAATTTTAGAAACAAAGACCCTGTCTTTTTCAGCTGTAAATTGAGTTTACATTGGAAGAGTCTGTAAGTAGAGAAAATAGAACTCTTTGACCCACTCTAATAATATGTGAATTTAAATTTGCAAGTATAATCACTTTTTATACTGGTATAATTGTATTCATCTTATAGGCTTGTGCCATTCTTACTGTATATTGGTAGAGTACTAAAGCATAATTAAATATTGCAGGAGTGCGTAGATCACACCTTAGAAGTTGTAGCTGTTTTTAATACATAAGGATACCTTTAATAATACAAATATTATATTATAATAGTATGACAAAAGAATTTGAAAGATGAAATCGTGCAGTTCTGTGATCAAGTTATAAGGATAATCTTTTGCTATGTAGCTCCCTCTTCTGGGAGCACTTGCATTAAGGAATACTCTTGGGCCAACATTTGTAAGTTATACAGCAAAGTTGTAGATGTTGTTCCTGTAAAATGAGATGACTGCTATCAGAAAGTAGCTGGTTGAGGATTTAATGCTGATATCCAGTTAAGCTCTGGAATAAGATGTTCAGATCAATGCCTCCAGTTATGCCTTGCTCGCCTGCTCCAGATTTGGACTCAGCCTGACGTCTCTCTTCAGTCCAAAGAAACTTGCACCAACTGATATATGGGGTTATTATCCCTGAGAGATCTGTTTATAGTACACATTACTCACAGCCTACTCTACTCTGGTGAGACCCCACCTGGAGATGCAGTCATCCAGCTTTGGGGTCCCCAGCACAGGAAGGATATCGACAGCTTGGAGCGAGTCCAGAGGAGGCCACCAAGATGGTTTAGAGGCATGCAGCACCTCTGCTGTGAGGAAAGGCTGAGAGAATTTGGGTTGTTTAGCCTGAAGAAGGGAAGGTTTATTGTGACCTTCCAGTACCTTAAGGGAGCCTACAAGAAAGATGAAGAGGGACTATTTACAAGGGCAGCTAGTGACAGGAGAGGATGTTGGAACAGTTTCAAACTGAAAGAGAGTAGGTTTAGATTAGATATTAGTAAAAAATTCTTTACTGATGATGATAGGCACTAGAACAGATGCCACAACAGAGAAATTGTGCCCCATTCCTGGAAGTGTTTAAGACCAGGTTGGATGGAGTTCTGAGCAACCTGGTCTAGTGAAAGGTGTCCCTACCCATGGCAGGGGGATTGGAACTAGGTGATCTTTAAAGTTCCTTCCAACCCAGATAATAAATAAACTAAACAAACTAATCTATAAAATGTTAAAAGAGTATTATTAAGGTCATTAAGTCACTTTCAAGGCACTGGAGTAATTCAGCTTTCTTATGATTATAACACAGTTTTTATTTCTATGTTCAGACTTGTTTTTCTGCAGAACACCTTTTGTGTTCAGTGCTTTCCCAGGGTAGGTTCTTTGCTCAGTCATGGTTGTATAGCAGAGAAGACTGTTTTTTGTAGAACTCGGTGGATCCTGCTCTTCTCTCCCAGTTCCACTTTCTTCTTATTTTCATCTCTCAGTTACTTTGGTCAGCTAATGCCACCCTGCCAGTCCCCAAGTCCTCACAGTCTCTCCTTCGATTTCCATTTATTCTCAATATCTTACCCTATTTACCATTCAGCTTCAATATCCCTTTTCCAAAGACAGAGTTGGAGGGTTGCCTGATGCTTTTTCTTACTCTTGTCCAAATCAGATTTTCAGATATGCGTGGTAGCTGTCATGTAATGCACACACTAGCATTGCCAGATAACAGTGTGATAAATAATTAAGACTCCCCTTACTTGCCATTGTGATAACTGTACTTGTACACTGTACTGTGTATTCACTAGTAGCTGATCATGTATGGCTGGTGGACTTCAGATTTTCTATAGCTTGTCTAATTGTAGAGCACTGGATTGCAGTTCAAAAAGCATGGGATCCTTTATAGCTTACCACATGGTACTAGGGTTACTAGCTTAATGATGTGTTTTTCTATTAAGTGCCTGGAGAAATAAAAAGCTATTGGTAGTTATGGGGATTCATGGAAGCTTCAGTTAACAGAGGGTTACATTTATTTATTATTAATATATTACCATTTTGAAGCCATGGAACTTTTTTTTTCCGTATATATCATACCAACAAGCAAACTTAAAGGAATATTTTACTATTTTCATAATGCTAAGGAGAACATGTAATACATTTTTGAAAAAACATTGAAGATTCCTTCAGTGGTTAGTTGGCGATCATAAATTTAGTTTGCAAAAAAATACAGCTTGGATTCTTGGTCATGTAGTTTTGTGCTCTGTAGGAGATGTCCATGGATGTAGATATGTTCTCTCAAACTTCTGAGAGAAACACTGAGCATTTGTGCCTGGTTTATTTCACTGCTAGGTCTGAGTTCTTGGAAATGCTGTTGCTGACTGGTTGTAGCAACCATGGAAAGTCTTACTGAAGCTGTCTGAACTTCTGCATCCCAACTAGATGCCCTCTGATGTACATGTACAAAGATAATGACTAATTGTTATATTTATCATACTTTGGCCAGAACTGTCCATGTTTGTCTGTGGGACTTGTAGCATTACTGAAGAGCAGTTAAATACTTGGCATTGGTTAGAGGTTTGATTTTCATAAAGCTTTCTACAGACATTGAATATTACTCTTTTTGCTGCAGGTGTCTGATAACAAAACTTCCTTGCCTCCAAAACCAGGAGGTCTGGCTAGTGGCAGTAATGTACAACCATCACTATCCCCTTCACCATCACCTGGATTTCACTCAATTGCTATGGGAACAACAGGCCACAGGTCAAATTCCCCATCCCTGTTTGGTACTGAAGGAAAGCCAAAGACTGAGCACTTGAGCCAAGGTCAGACTGCCCTGGAAGAGCTGAGAACACAAGTTAGGGAGCTAAGAACCATCATTGAAACTATGAAAGACCAGCAAAAGTAAGTTCTGCAAATCACAACTGTAGGTGGGATGTATCCATTTGTGCATAGTGGTGGCTTGCCTTGATGTGTGTTACTCTGCACAGTTTGTCTATGTGTTTGTGAGTGATTTTCATGTGACAGAACATATTCAGGGGTGAGAACCTCAGGAAAACAGACCAGCACTATCCACCCATAAACCTTTTTTTTTTCCCCTGAGTTATGACATAAGCAGATGTTTATGGGGTCTTAAAAAAGTTAAGTTACAAGCTATAAACAGTGAATAAGGTTCTTATATTGTTTTATTTGCAAGTAACTATTTGGGAACTCATGTGCATTGATCATAATAAAAGGGGTGCATTTGTTCTAATTGTAGTAGAAATTACTACAAGTTCCTAAAGTTATTAAATCAATTTGTTGTTTGACTGTCAGCACATTTTCCCAGGAAGCTCATGTTACAAAAGTAGTAATTGAACCGTGATTAGGACCTTTGAAGACCTTTATGGTTATGGCCCCAAATCTTACTATTTTAGTTTTGGGCATCTTTATTTTCTTTAGGTTGCTCATTTCTTAGGAGCAACTGGGGCTGGCATGTAGCTTTTGCTGTTCCTGAGAATATTTAATGCTTTGGAAGCTAAACCTTCACTTACATTGTCAGTTGTGTGTAGCCCAGGCAGGAAAAAGAAAAGGGGAAGCAGCGTGCAGAGCCTGTGGCGGATCAAAGGTGTGCGGAGAGTTTGGGAGAAGATGCGGGAGGGCATGGTTCAAGCTGGATGTAGCCAGCAAGCCCCACGGCTTCACCTCTTAGGCTGACCCCTGCTCCTCCAGTCTCCCCTTCTTGCAAGGGCAGCTTCCACCTACTGGTTTCTGTCGTAAGGTGAGATCACTCAGTGGGAACATGAGAACGTGTCTGCTCCTTATAGCTATGTTCCCCTTCCCAGCAAAGAGGAATGACAGAAAATGTATATTTGGGATCATTCAGTCTTATAAATGAAGTTGAAGGTTACGTTGTATTGCTGGCATAAGCAGCTTTTAAGTGGCTTAAGTATGTGATAGGACGGGCAGGATTTGTGTTACCAGTTCCTATAACCCACAAACAGTTAATCCATCTACATTTTGTAGGGAAAAGAAAGGGTGCTGATACAGTGTTGATACAGCTAGTCCAGAGCAAAGCCTATGGATGCAGGTCTATTAGGTGGAAATTTATTATTCATTAGCCCTGTGGGATGTGGGGGGTACTGTCTTACAGAGAGGCTCTGTAGTATAGCCTACAGTATACAAGAGTGTGATGACTTTAGTTAGTTGTTCAGAGGAAAAAAAATAACTAGTGAAGCAGGGAAAATACCTCTTCAAGAGATGAGCTTTTGTATTTTACTAGTTTAATAATTTTCATTCCAAGCTTCTTTTGCATTCTTGTAACAGAAAAGAGATTAAACAGTTGCTGTCTGAGTTGGATGAAGAAAAGAAGATCCGTCTACGATTGCAGGTACTTATTTATAATGTTAGAGATGTATTGGCAGGTTTGATTTAGCCTCACATATGGGAGAGAAAACTCTGCTATAAGATACTTAGATTTCCAGTGAATCAAAAACTACTAATGTTTCTGAAAGGGATATACCTGTTCCCTTCATATCATTGCCATATATATTGCAGTCTGGGTTTTTACTGAAAAGCCTGATAATTATCAGCACAAGTAAACAAATTTAAAAAAAATTAAACACAATACAGAATTCAAACTATTATATTTCTTAGTCTTGGTTGTAATTGTTTGATTTTGTCACAAATGAAATCATGACTTTTTACATTACTTACTTCCTGCCAAAGCTTTATATTTTGTAGTAGGCTTGTCTTAGTGTTAATGTGCTTCAAATATGATTTCATATAGTGGATTTTTATGTCTGCTTTAGAGGCTGTACTCAGGTTGTCTTTACTAAAGCATCCTTAACAATATAAAAGAAAGTGTTCTGATTAAGAGCCCAGTTACTGCTACCATACAGTAACAGTACAGTACCTTAGTTCTAGATGTTATCATCCTGGCTAGTCATTTGCCAGGTAGCACACTGCCCTGCTTGTGGGAATTATGGAGCTTGGTCTTTGCTAGAATCATTAACTGCTTCACTGTGGAGTGACTTTGAAACTGCTTTTTGGGGTTTTGTAGAATGATTTGGACAATGCCATTAACAACATGCTTTAACTTGGTCAGGCAGTCAGACTAAATGGTCATTGTAGGTTGCTTCCAAACAAAATTACTCTCTGCTACACTATGCTATATTATACTATTCTAGTCCATGTACTTGATAAGTGCGTTAGTATTGATTATATTTTATATTTTTATGTTATAGGTCAGCTGTGCTTTGTACTAGGGATAGAAAATCAAATTGTAGTTTCACTGGACTGTTCCCACTGTGAAGTGCTTGGGAACATAACAAAGGGTGGCAGAACTGCGGATCATCAATGTTTATGCTCCAGGGCTGCCTAAAGGACTTTATGTACCACATGGGAACATGTCTTCTAAGAAAACACAATTCATGTTCAGCTAAAACTGAAATTTATTCAGATAATCAAGGAATATTTTCAATAGCTGTTATTGATTTAGTCTAACAGGACAGACTATCCAGAGGTCTTGATTCTACCTCCAAGGATAACTTTACATCTTTACAGAGGCCTGCATTGATGGGTTTAAAATTATGATCTTATAGCTGAATGCTTTTACTCCAGTTCAAGTGTTGTTCATACTAGTAAATGTTCAGATGCTAGCCAAGATGGCATTATTAGCTTTACAAAAAGATGATAAGAGTTAATAAACAAAAATTGCATTAGTTTTAGAGCTCTGATCATCAGGAAGTAGCACATGCATTAAAGAAGACTGCCTTGATCATGCAGTTTGAACACTGTGGGTGTGTTTGAATAAATCTAGTATACCCCTGCCTTAGGGTTTTCAGTGTCTGTCAGAGGGGCCAAGTGTGCAAATAGGGCTGATGATGGTTTCAGCCACATCCTTTTACCACATCTCTGTATATCCATCAGAGCACTTAAGGTGCCTGGGCACAGGCTTGATGGGTGTAGAAGGCAACCACCATCCTTACAGCAAGAACCGTCCCTGTAGGAGAGAGATGATCAGTTTTGTTCCTCAGCTTCCAGTGCTCATTGCCAGCAGTGCAGTTTACTTGTGCCAGCTCTAAGTGCAGTGTGGACACAATGCTCATTCTGCAAGTAATTCTAGGCAGTGAGCTGAGTGGCTTGTAAAAGTTGTAATTTGAAGAGATTGAAAAGTCTTGCATTACATTCAATGACTATACTTGTCAGGCTCTGAGGGGAGGAAGCCATGAATGGTCATCTTATGCAGCTGAAAAGGACACCTCAATTTGTGAAATCTGTGGAAATAAGAGTAGTATAAAACCCGTACTTGACACCTGTGGACATGATGGAACATGTGCTTTTCAAGTGGCACCAACTGTGCCTCAGTTTGCTGAAGCATCTAATTTAATCACAAATACTTTTTTTCTGTTTTTTTCAGATGGAAGTTAATGACATAAAGAAAGCTCTTCAATCAAAATGAATACTTGATAGGTGGAATGTTGCATTATTCTTCATGACTGAGACTCAAATTTATGCCCCAGCCAAAATAACTTTGTGCCAAATGATTTAAGAATTGCCTCAACATCCCTTTATTTGAAGGATTAGCACAACAGTTTTTGATAGCACAACAAAAATACCAATGAAGACAAAATTTCCACCCAAAGCTGTGCTGTGCAGCACTAGTTGTGACTGAAATTGATCTTCTTGTGCTAAAGGTTCTCTACTTCAAGATCCTAGGTGAAATGAAAACTCAGGCAGTTTAATCCATAGTGGTACTATTTTGATGATATTTTTCCATAAATAAAGTGTATCTCAGATTATCTGTTTACAAGCTTTATGATTTTGACTTTTGGTTTTTAATTGTCTTTTGTCACAGATTTTAAAATGTTTGTACTGCATATAGCCAGGAATGAATGTTAATGTTGGGGCTGGAGGGATTATTTTTGCTTCGAGATGGAACAGCCTACTTTTTGTTATGGTTTTAAGTTCTGTTAAATATGCAATTTTATGTCCCCAAATCCCCTTCAACTTAAACTCGCGTTTTGTACAGTAATGTATTTACAAGAAGGAAACAAACCAACAGAAGTCTGGTCTTTGCAATGATTTGTGCCTTTCTTTGCCACACACTGACTGGAGCCAGTTGAGGCCAGGTCTCCCTGATGTAGCTCCCACGACGACTCCTGTCCCCGTTGTCCGGCGGAGGTCACTTCCCAGTGTACAGCTGCTCAGTCAGCAGGGCCGGGTTTGTGCGAGATGGCAGGACAAAAGGGCGCAGCTGAGAGCAGCTTTGTCTTGAGCAGCTGTGGCTTTTTAGCTTTCCTGGTTTGGATAGGCCTCTCCCTCAACCTGAATGTTCATCTCTGCTTGATTTTCATTAGATGATTTAAACACCCGCCTCTGTCCCCAGTTTTGCACAGAGTGAACAGAATATGCATTATTAAAGCAAAAATAAATAAAAGTAATCTATAAAACATGAATAAAAACTTGTATTATTTCATGCACAAGGTTCTCTGTCGTGTGGCACTGTTTCATTTGCTGTTTATGTGGTATTGTTTGCTCCATTATATTGTACACTTACAAGCTGATACACCTCATAGTCCTGTTTTTTGCAGCAGGACTTTCTTCTCAATATTTTGTTCTACCTGATGATTACTTCATTTTTTCCAGTTTCTGTGTTTACTTTCATCCTTTCACAATAAGGTCTCCCAGTTTTCTGGTTGCGGTTTCATGTGTGCTTAACTAGCCACGGAGTATCTCATACCTTGTCAGCAATCTCTGTTGAGTTTATACACAGTGTTTAAATAATGGATATTTTTGCATAGCATGAAGTTGAGTGGGTGAGTGATGTAGGTGATGCTTTCAGCGTGACAAAAAAAAAAAAAAAAACCACAAAAATTATCTATTTGTCATCTCACCAAATGCTAGAGCTGGCTCCAGCAGCACATCCTATATCAACACTAACCTCCCTGCTTGCCAGGAGCTGGGTGAGGCATAGTATGCAGTTGGCTGTTCACATTCACATATGGTTGGCAGAGTTCCCATAATCCTTTTTATATGCATAGATATATAAAATACACACTCCACCATACTCGAATCTTGCTTTATGGCTCTCAACTGGCAATACAGAACCTCACTGCTGGGATGATTTTCTCTTCCAGAGCATCTGCTTCTATTGTAACAGTGGTGTCTGAAACTAAAAGACCAGATAGTGAACCTTGGGAATTTTTTTTAAAGTCACAATACTTTGCTCAATGTACTCAAACAGAAGCACTAATAAAATATTTTATCACTGAAATGCTCTTATGTAACATTTCTAAATACATTAAAATATTTTTGTACAAAGAATGAGAGTCCCACCGTAGCTTTCTAGCAATAAAGATTTCTACATTACTTTCATGGTTTTTGTGAAGTTAGTAGCAGAGTTAGGAGAACAGGAGGAAATGAGGGGATAAGGAATAAGAATTCTGTTTGGGTTTGTAGTCATACTTTTGCGACATTTATCCAGACATTAACAGCTCTGGATTCCTAATTGCATCCCTGAAAAGAGATAAACTATTGTATCTGTGGTAAATAAAGTATTGATTCCTGAGCTGTACCTCAGAAATACGAGACATCTCAGAAATGTTCCATTTTTTGCAAATGAAAGTCTGAATTTGGAACTGAGTTTCTGTATATCAGATTATATTTTTTTTCTCCTGTTGAGATGATAACTTATCATTTTATAAATCCAAGTTAGGAGTCAAACATACCATGCTTTGTAAAAGACAGTTAAATAAGTTTTTTTGTGAAAATGCTTGGATTTGCAAGTTGGTTATTCTAGGAGAGGAGAGTTTTCAGAAATACAAGCTCTTCTTTCTGCATTTCATTATAATACTAGAAAGTATTTCACATAACACACAGATTTTCCCTTTTTAAAGAATGTCACATATGCATTAAATGTGTGGATATGAACTGCTGCTTTTAAAAGTGTTTGGGTTTATATTTAAAGAAAAACAAAACACTAGTGAGCTACAAGGTGATTTTGTTGTGAAAATGATTAAATATTGTTGTTTGAGTTGTGTAAAATGACTTTTCATTAACATGCACACACCAGTCTTGTGGCAGACTTCTGTTCATGTGTAAAGTCGGGTGTGAAACATCAGGCTCATCTCTTTGGATGATAATACCCGTATTCTTGATTTGGAAAATTTTTAGGTTATTAAGAAAACGGTTTTGTGTTCTCTTTTTGTTGTTCTTTCAACTCTAAAAGGAGCAAGTATTTCCTAATGTGCGATCATAGCACTTAGCACTTAAAAAAAACACTTTGAACATTTACCATCTCGTTTCCATGTAGAACTTTTTTGAAGTTTGTTACTTAAATTTCATCTTCTGTGGTTTTCTTATTAATTCCATTGTGAATGAGCAAAAGGTTCAGATGAATCTTTTGTGATGCTAACAGGTCAAAGGTCTGAACACAACTATATGCCATAAATTTTGTGAGCTACTTTGTGTGTAAAATATCCAAAATACCCTCTATGATAGCCAGGACTGAAAGTTGCACTTGTGAAGCAAGGTGAGAGAGTGACATAAAACACCCTCAGAAATTCATGCTCTGCTGAAGTTACAGCATTGTTTCACTCACGTGTGAGCAGGCCCTGCTCTGCCCCTCTGTCCAGGCTGTCCTGCTGCACGGGCAGCCACCGGGGGCTGTGGGGTTACCACCTTCCCTGTCAGCAGTCTCTGCAGTGCCAGGAAGAGGTGTGAGGTCTCCAGTGTCTGCTTCTTCCCCGAATAAGGACCCTGGATCTGGAGACAAGACAGAGGTGCACTGATGAGGAAAGTTCTCTCTCTGCTGGTGAGAGAGAAGATACCTTTCATACAGGAGGGCTGTCGTTTGAAAAGCAGGCAGGAATTTGCTTAAAAGTAGAAACAAGCAACTACTTTACAAGGTCTTCATTGAGGAGGCTTTTCAGCCGTGTGGGGGTGGTAGTGCTGCTGGGAAACTGCAATTCCCATAGGCTTTGGCATGGAGAGCACTGACTTTGGTTCCTGGCAATTCTGAGGTTAAAAAGAGCCAGAAGAGGTGGAGCTGAATTCTTCCCGCTAAACATCGGGTACTTGTATCCATGGTTATTAATACCCTTCAGCCAGAAATTAGATTTTGCTTGGCACCTTTGGCCTCAGCTGACCTCTCGAGCTGGCCTGGGAATTAGCAGCTGGTTGTGCATGACCTGGCCCATTCACTCGCAGCTTCCTGCAGCTGCTTCCCTCCTCCTGCAGTGGCCCCTCCACTTCAGTCATTCCCTGCCTTTGGAAAATAACCAACTTCTTTAGGTCCTCAGTCATGCAGGTTAGGGGGTGCCAGCACTTGCCAGCCTGGAAAGAGCAACTGAGAAAGCAAAAAACGCTATTTAAATGCCATCAGGAAGCTGCAGTGCTGTGTGTGCTGCCAGGGGATAAGCAGCCTTGGTGCCCACCAGCCTGGTGTCAGCCAGGTCATGGCCCGGGCCATCCTCCCCTCTGCTTCCAACTCAGGTAAGGAAGGTTATTGGACCCACTCAACACATTCTTGTTTGGTGTTATCTTGTTTAAATTGAAAGACAATTTCCAATCCCAAGCAGACACAAACGTTTGCAGGTAGTGAGTGTAAAGCAGTGGCAGTCTCAGGAACAGAAGCTTTCTTTGTGCTGCCACAGACGGGCTTCTCTTGAACCAGCAAGACAGCTGAGTTGCCCCTTGCAGTGCTCACAGTTCCACTACTGGACAGTGTGGGGGTCTGGAGTGCAAACAGATGAACTGACAAAATGGCTTAATGCTCCTGAGAATTTTTATTTAAAGTATTAGAAATTCAATCATATTTTTAAACATTAGCACTGTAGGATGAAAAATTTAAGACGCAAATTAATTTTGTTGAATTGCTACCCTACAAACTGGAGTGATTAGTGTATTTTAGCAAGAAAATTAACTATAATCTCCATGAAAATAATTGTCCTGACACGTTGTAAAGGTTACAATCTCGGATAATAAGGTTTCAAACTCCTTATCTTCCTTTTTTTTCAGGTAGGAAAAGCAACTGGAGAATGTAGATGATTATAGTCACAGGAAAACAAAATTGGCATTTATCAGTATGATCTTAAAACTTGTAATAGGCTGTTTCTCCTGGAGGAGAAAAAAACTTGAAAATTAGAACGCCAAAGCAAATTAGATAAGAATTCAAAAGCAATTTAGAATATCAGAGCATTAAAGAAGTATCTCAAAACTATCTCTAATAAAACCTGTTCACTTCACTGAGTCCAGACCCAGCATTTTCACTTGCTCTGGGAGATCCTTTGTCTTCAGTACAACAAGCTCTGCCCAGTGTGCTTCATCCCAGCCAGTGAACAGCAAACATCCTTCTGCAAAGGGGCCCATCAGGCTGCTCTTCACCTCCTCAGATAACAGCAATGAAGAGTTTGGGATTTTGTGAAATCAATTCTTAGAGCTGGTGAAAATTAAGTTAGGCAGCTGTCCCTGCTACAGAGTGACCCATTACCTTGGTTTACCCCCTTCTGGTTTTCATTGCAAAGGACACAACAAGTAGAAGAGAAAGCAGAGTCACACAGTCTGTGCACCGTCCTCTTTCTCCTAGCACAAAGCACCAAAAAGAGAACAACAGCTAAAATAGGATAGGTAGAAAAGTAGGTGCACCTGCATGGAAATCGCTGCCGCTGCTGGATAATTTGGCTACTCTGGATTCAAAGAGCCAAATTTACTGAGCTCAACTGGAAGCACAGATGCAGCTATTTGGGAAATAAAAGCACAAAGCAGGGGGAAATACGATGTAAATTTTGAGAACCCAGCAAAAGCAGAACTGGCTGGGGAAAGCTACCTCATTAATGGATGGCATGTCTCTCATGGGAGGTTCAGGATGTTTGTGCTGTGATTACACAGTTGTTCTTGGCATGTGTCACTGATCTCAGAGGAACACAAAACCTCTGATGCTCTAACCTGAAGAACCCACTTACCTCAGAAATACAAGTGTGTAACCTGTGCTTGGGACGCTCTTAACACAAGAAGAGTCTCACATTACTGTGACAACTACAAGCTTCAATATTGGACTTGGACTAATTGAGATATATTACACT